TTGATATAGGCTTCCGTGTTGAGTCTGAAGCCCAGCGGGAAGGTGAATGGAGGTATAACATCGCTATCATTAGTGATCACTCTAATCACCTTCATAATCACCATTAGACTCATCCAACTCTTTTAAATCTTCAGTACTGTCCACTTTGAAATATTCGTATTGGAACTTCCGGTATGAAGGACAAGTAGTACAGAGTGTCGTTTCTAAATTTCTGGCGGAGTGAATTGCGTCATGGTGCTCTTTTCTCACAGACAGTGCCTAACTGACCTACTGCAGTCGTCAAAATCAAAAACAAACAACGCGCATGCGCGAAATTAAAAATAAAAATGGCAACAATATACCCAGTGCATCTATATATATATATATATATATATATATATATATATATACAGAATGCGCTGGGTAAATTGTTGCCATTTTTATTTGCTGGTAGATCCTATGTCTGGCAACAGGACTCTGCACCATGTCACACAAGCAGGGAACAGACTCATGGCTGTCAGACAATTTATGCGACCACATCACCCCTTACATGTGACCACCTAATTCTCCAGATTGCAACCCCCTTGATTAAGGGCGCAGTTGAGCGAGAGACCAGCAAAACTCCTTGTAATACCAAAGATTAACTGAAGGCAAAGTTTATGGCATTATCCACCAACATTAAATAGGATTCCGCCGGAAGATTTACAGGAGATTCTCAACTTCTCTTGAAGCCGTGGTGGAAGCCAATGGCGATTTTATTGAATAAATTTACTCTTTTGTATTTCAAGATATTTTTGTGTAATTTTGGTAAATATGTCTTAAAATGAGATGTCAGTGTTATTTGCATTTTTGCATAATTTTGACGACAACTTATCTTTTTATACCTACATAGATTCAGATATTAATATACATTTCTTTTTTGACTAATAGATAATGACACATACAGTTTGTATATATATATATATATATATATATATATATATATATATATATATATATATATATATATATATATATATGGATAAATTGTCGCGAAGGCTCAGAATAATCGCTGCTACTAGCATTAAGGAATATACAAATCATACGTCTCAAAC